TAGTTTATTGTCACGTTGGTTTCCATATAACACCCAGTGCTCATTCCCACAAGTGCCCTCCTCCATGCCCATCTGCCCCCCCACACACACCCCCATCAGCCTTCAGTTTGTTCTCAGCATTCAAGAGTCTCTCATGATTTGCCTCCCTCCCTCTCCTCCACTATTTTTCCCCTTCTTCTCCCCCATGGTCCTCCATTAAGTTCCTCCTAATCCACCTATACGTGCAAACATATGGTATCTGTTCAAAAGGAAGATTTTTTTTTAAGGCAAAGAGAGGGCATAAAGAAAGGAATTTATTAGCAAGAAATGCATTATTATCTCATACCCGTGACAGTCGTGGTTTTTAAAAAAATTTTATTTATTCTTGAAAAAAAGAGAGTGCAAGTAGGCGGGGCAGCGGCAGAGAAAGAGGGAAGAGAATCCCCAGCAAGCTCCATGCTCATGCAGAGCCTGACAGGGGGCTCGATCTCACAACCATGAGATCATAACCTGAACTGAAATCAAGAGTCTGACATTTAACCAGCTGAGCCATCCACATGCCCAAGAGTTGTGTTTTAATAAGCAGTCATTATTGGCAAAGAAGACATGTCTGACCTAAAGGATCCCCACCCCTCCCCAGAGCACCCACTAGTCAGCTTGGTGAAGTTTGAAGCCCATAAATAACACACTCAGGGGCTCCTGGGTGGCTCAGTCAGTTGAGTGTCTGACTTCGGCTCAGGTCATGATCTCACAGTTTGTGGGTTCGAGCCCCGTGTCAGGCTCTGTGCAGAACGCTTGCTCAGAGCCTGGAGCCTGCTTCGGATTCTGTATCTCCTTCTCTCTCTGCCCCTCCTCTGCTCATGCTCTGTCTCACTCTGTCTCTCAAAAACAAATAAAAACTGTAAAAAATAAATATAAATAAATAAATAAATAACATGCTTAGTACAACTAATCTTTCTTTTCAATACCCTTCCTTATCATTTTTTTCCATCCATAGATGTCATTAGGTTAATAGTCTCTCAGGCTGTCCATTTTTTTCTAGCTATGATTGAAAATTACATTTGGAGGGTATTATTAGCTTAAGACCTCTCCTTGGTGCTTGGTTGAATATCAATAATTAAAATAAAACTGGGAACCCTGTGTGTGGAGAGATATGGAATGAGGAGTGACATTTATCAGAATATGTCGTAAACACTTTCTTCCTGCTACCTATGTGATATCAGAAAAATGCTTTGTGACCACTCAAGCAGGGCGGTGAAGTGGGGCAAGGCTTTTCATGATAAGAACCAATGACTTCTGTGCCTAGGGCAGAATTAATTTCATATTCTCTGCTTCAATTTTCTTTGCATTCTCCCCCCTGTGGGAATCTGGATTTCCTCTGGGTGTTCTCTATAGGGGAGAAGATGTTTCCTATCAAATTATGTGTTTCCACCCATGAAATAGTGTTGAAGGTAGCAACTATAAGTTTTTAAGAGTTTATTATTTACCAGGCACTAGGTTGAGCATTCTATATGTGTTATTTCATTTATTTTTCAAAGCAAATCTGTGGGGTACATGCTATTAACATCTCCAGGACAGTGAGACGGTAGCAGGTAACATGCCCAAGGCCACACAGCTAATAAATGGTAGAACCCAGTTTCAAATGCAGATCTGTCTGCACCAAATCCTACTTCATTCAACTTTTTACACTATGCTTTGCTATGCTACACTACACTATAATAATCCTTAGGCTACCCAAGGTCATCCCTTAGATGGAAGCCAAAAACATATTATAATGCCAGGGCCATGGCAATGACTATGGAGGTTTTCTTGAACATTTCAAAAAAGACACACTTATTCATTGTTAAATAAATAGCTTTCTTCTCTTCCACAAGAAAGGGACTCTTGGATGCATTAAACAGCATTGGATACAATTTGGTGTAATTGTAGTACACATTACAAATTTGGTGCAAATCCTGGCTTTGTAACACAAGTTAGCAAACATCATCTTGGTTTCCTCAGTTGTAGAATGGGAATAAAAATGTTGTCTACTTTGCCAGTTGTCAGAAGGCTTAAGTGGAATAATGTACATGTGAAGCACCATGCAAGTTATACAGCCCAGTAGCTGACCTGATTATTAAACAGTGGATAACAAAAAGGTAGCTGTGACCCCTTTGCTCTGGTCCTAACTTATCCACAGTTGACTTTGGTCCTCTCTTCCAAAATTCTGGAGCCCAGCAATTTGTTAGCAACTCTTAAGCTGACTCTTTTTCCAATAGAGAGGATTTGGATGAGGTGCCTTGCATATAAATATACTGCTCAGTAGAGCTTAAGTCACCTCTGAAAGACCTCTGGAAATAAGCCCTTTCTGCATATTGGAAACCTCGGCCATGAGTGGTAGGCTGGCCTCTTGGGTTTCTTTCAGCCATCAAGCCTTGCAGGGGCTCCTGTCTTTCATGAAAACTAGACTTTGCATTAAAGCACATCTAGCCACTTGACAGGTATGGAATCTGAGGCCCAAGAAAACAGGTGCCTTTAAGTGATAATTATGAAGGCCATGAGCCAATCATCTCATGTTAGAGTTAGGAAGGTCCTTGTAAAACTTCCAGTCCAATTATCGGGCAAATTCATGAAGAAGTTGGGAGGCAGAGCATGAGCTTTGGCATCGTATAGACCTCGGTTCAAGTTCCAGTTGGTTGGCTTATTGCCTCAGTGACCTTGGGAAAGTTATTTGATCTCCATTGCTTCATTTCTCCATCGATCAAAAGGAGAGCTACTTTGCTTGTTGCTGAGATTGGTTGCTGGATCAATTGAAAGGAGCTAGGCAAAGTGGCATCCAATAAATGATTGCAATTACAGTTCGAGTTATAGTACTATTACTCCACTGTTGATACAGGTGGAGTGGCGTGGGGTGACTGGAATGGACAGAAGCTTTATATTCCTTCTTTCCTGGTTTTCAAATATTTCCTGAGTACCTATATATGCAAGTCATTACCTCTGGCATCAAGATGTGTCAATAGAAATGAGAGACTATATATACACACACTTTTAAGGAACATTTCTGGATCATAGGACATGTAATGTGTTCTGAGTTGGGCCAGAGTTATACTCCAAAGAATGGATGAGACCCCCTAGATTTGAACTCATGACTTCACTTGTAATAAACCCACTGCATTTCTTGACTAATTCAGACAGCCATGCCACTGCCTCTCTTCTCTGGCTTCAACCCCACTCCAGATACAATACTCGTCTCTAATTTCTCCCATGATTACATTTTTGTGGTTGCCAGCAACCTCCTGCTTATTAAGGAGTCCTGATGTTTTGGGGGTAAATAAGTAAGTTAACACAGACTCATTGGTTCATCTTAAATCTTTTCACTGGAGTAGGAAATCAGGTTATACCCCATCCACATGTAATTCCAAAAGATAAATGTTAATGACCATTATGGGTCTAAAATACTTCCATGATGCTCCAGTCCCCTACCAATTCTGTGTCCCTCCTATTACGTTGAATTTCAATCCACAAAACCAAAGAAGCAGAGACAGGGTCTCCTTCACGAAGAACAGGAGCTCCAGGAGCTCCAGGATCCTATGTTTCTTTAAAAAAAATTTTAGGGGCGCCTAGGTGGCTCAGTCGGTTAAGTGTCTGACCTCTGCTCAGGTCATGATCTCACAGTTCATGGGTTCAAGCCCTGTGTCAGGATCTGTGCTGACAGCTAGTTCAAAGCCTGGAGCCTGTTTCAGATTCTGCATCTCCCTCTATCTCTGACCCTCCCCTGCTCACACTGTCTCTCTCTCTCTCTCAGAAATAAATTTTTAAAAAAAATTTAAAAAATTTTTTAAATAAAAATAAGTTAAAAAAATTTTTAGCTTATTTATTTTTTAAGAGAGAGAGAGAGAGCAAGGGAGAGGCAGAGAGGAAGGGAGAGAGAAAATCCTAAGCAGGTTCTGCACTGTCAGCACAGAGCCCAACATGGGGCTCAAACTCAAAAACCGTGAGATCATGACCTCAGCCGAAACCAAGAGTTGGACGCTTAACTGACTGAGCCACCCAGGCACCCCAAGGATCCTATTTTTCTTAATCATTAAGTCCCCATTGTCTAGAACAGTGCCTGGCATACAGGGGGTCCCCAAAAGTAGTGAATGACTGAATGAACCAGAAAGAATGACCCTTACTTTTTGCGGTGATCCTGTCTCATCCTCTGATAACCCAAGACTTAGATCAGTGCCCATAGCAGGCATAGCACTCTGAAGAAGCACATGACAAATTTCAAACCAGAAGGGCTGATTCTTATTGAAGGAGAAGGAAAGAGGAAGTGCGAGAATAGAAGGATAATTCTGAAACAATTTGTGGAGACAACAGAAACAATGAAGGATGACAGAAAAGCTGTTTGGCAAATGCAGAGCCACACCCACCAATTTCCTCTGGAGAATCGACAGAGAAGACTGTAGCAGATTCATGAGGGTTCTGTCACTGAAGTAATTAGTCCCCTTTCTAATTGCTATTGGGTTTTTTTTTTCTTAAGTTTATTTATTTTTTGAGAGAGACAGAAACAGCATGAGTGGGTGAGGGGCAGAGAGAGAGGGAGAGGGAGAGAATCTCAAGCAGTCTCCATGCTGTCAGCGCTGAGCCCAACAAGGGGCTCGAACTTAGAAAACAGATCATGACCTGAGCTGATACCAAGAGTGAGATGCTTAACCAATGGAGCCATCCAGGCACCTGTAATTGCTACTGAGTTTCTATAATCAGATATTGATCAAATGATTACAAGTGAAATAGCACATGCAACCAAGTATGTATGTGCCTATGTGTACAGATAGGACCTCTCCCTTCACAAAATCCAACAGCATCATCATTCCAGAGCTTTCACTGTTCATCATAAAAATGGCTTCTCCGAGAAACAGAAAGGTAACAATTTTTCTCAAGGCAGCAGGCTAGTCAAAATACTTCCTGCATTCTCTCACACTGTACACTTCTAGAAGGTTGGCATTGCTCCCAGCAGCTCTTTGTGACTAGCAACTGCAACTTTTGTCTTTGTGCAGGGCAAGGTTGAAGCCGAGTTCCACCTAGTTACGGCAGAAGAAGCTGAGAAAAATCCTGTTGGAAAAGCCCGGAAGGAGCCAGAGCCCCTGGCCAAGCCCAAGTGAGTTGGGGTCATGGGTATGAGCACCAGAAATGGGAAAGGCCCTTGCAGTCCCCATAGCCAAGGACAGGGTATTTCTCTAGAGGGTCCCCCTGGGAGAATGGAGCCACAAGAAGGCAGCCAAAAGGTGCCGGCCAATCCAGGTAGCTTTTTGTTGCTATAATTGAGAAATACTCTAACAACAATACAGACTGTTTGGGAAATGGAGAAGGTATTATTCTGTAATACTCTCACAGAAGCATTTCTAGAATAATTTCATGTATTTTTTCTACTCTTTTTTTATGTGAATATGAATTCTACATGAATTATTTATTTATTTATTTATTTACAAATAGTTTATTGTCAAGTTGGTTTCCATATAACACCTGGTGCCCATCCCCACAAGTGCCCTCCTCCATGCCCATCTCCCCCCTCGCCCCCCACACCCATCAGTCCTCAGTTTGTTCTCAGCATTCAAGAGTCTCTCATGGTTTGCCTCTCCCCCTCCCCCACTATTTCCCCCCTTCTTCTCCCCCTTGGTCCTCTGTTAAGGTCCTCCTAATCCTCCTATACGTGCAATCATATGGTATTTGTCCTTCTCTGCCTGACTTATTTCGCTCAGCATAACACCCTCAAGGTCCATCCATGTTGCTACACATGGCCAGATTTCATCTACATGAATTTTTTTCTACTTGTTCTCGAGTCATGCATACACAATTGTCCTAATGTTTCCTTCATCCTGTGCTGCAAAGTTTTGCTTTGGTGCCATAGTGGTCATAATTAGGATTTTTTAATACCTGTGGAATATTCTATAGATTTGACGCCCATAATTGACTTGGTCACCACCTCATAGCTGGATATTTAATTTACTTCTGCCTTTTTCCATTATTGTAATATGATGAAATATTTCCCTTTTATAAATTATTATTTTAAAATAAATTCCAAGGAGTAGAATTACTAGAAGAAAGGGTTACCCTATTCAATTTAATCCATGGTTACATATCAGTTGAAAAGTAAATACAGGGGCATTTGGTGGTTTGGTTGGTTGAGTCTTCACCTTTGGCTTAGGTCGTGATCTCACTGTGAGTTTGAGCCCTGCATTGGGCTTGCTGTTGTCAGCACAGAGCCTGCTTGAGATCTTCTGTCCCTCTCTCTCTTTGCCCCTCCCCTTCTTGTGTGTTCTGTCTCTCAAAAATAAAAATTAAAAAAATTTATTTTAAAGTTTTTAAAAAGTATGGGGTACCTGGGTGGCTCAGTCAGTTGAATATCCAACTCCTGATTTTGGCTCAGGTCATGATCCTAGCATTGTGGGATGGAGCCCCACATTGGGTTCCTTAAGATACTCTCTCTCTTAAGAGGTTCCACATTGGGGAGGCTCCTTAAGATATTCTCTCCATCCCCCCGCTCTTCTCCCCACTCACACATGCTATTGCTCTTCCTAAACATTCTTTCAAAAAAGTAAATACATGTGGGGGCTCCTGACTGGCTCAGTCAGTACAGCATCTGACTCTTGATCTCAGGGTCATGAGTTCAAGCCCCACATTGGGTATGGAGCTTACTTTAAAAAGTAAACATATGTAGATATGAAATATATATATATATATATATATAATACACTTTCAAATTATATTTGCCCTATCCTTCCTGAGACCCCAAGCATCTGAAGATGAGTGGTCTCTTCTCTGTATCTACTTTTGATCTATCATAGTGTTAGAAACATAATGAGTACTTACTTAATCCTTAGCCATTAATTCAAAATTATTTGTTGAGCTCCTACAATGTATATCTCCTAAAAAAAATACTTTGAAGAATACTGAAGAAATGTAAGACCTAAGCTCTGTCTTCTAAGAGTTTCCAATCTGTTTAGGGAGAACACATAGACTCGTAAAATAGTTAACAAGAGTATAGAATAAAAACCAGTATGCTAGGTTCAAAAAGGAGCTAAGTCAAGTGATAGATGAGACAGGAATTTGGAAGGAGGGGGATCTTTAGGCACGAAGTGGTCAAGGAGGACCTCATGGAAGAGCTGGACAGATGGAGGGCAGTCAGACTCTTCCTTCCTCCAGGCCAAGCTTTGAAATGATGCAAGAATCATTATCACCCAGAATGTTGGATTGTTCCTGCTTCAAGGCAACATGGACTTCTCCCATTCCCAGACATCTCCTTGTGGGCCTCTAGAGAGTGAGAGTCAGAAATGCTTCCTGAGGTCTGGAGAATCCCATGTGTTGACAACATGGCCTCTTTCGCTTCCTGATTTTCTCTTGCTTCCCTCGCAGCCGCCCAAACACCTCCTTCTCCTGGTTTGTGAGCCCCTTCAAGTGCCTGTACCACCTCATCTGGAAGAATTACAAAAAGTACATCATCATCGGTTTCATTCTGATTGTCCTCATCATCTTCCTGGTCCTCTTCATCTATACCTTGCCTGGAGCCATCAGCCGAAGGATCGTCGTGGGCTCCTAGAGAATCCTGGAGGACCCAGACCCTCCCATTCTACTTATCCTCTCTTCTTTCTCATTTCTAAATGTGTAAGAGCATGTGCTCTGTGCAGGCACTGTGCTGGGTGCTGAGGGGATGAACCTCAAGGGCCCAAGAACTAGTCCTTCTGTCTAAGGACAGATCAACCCTTCTTGGATGACATGGGAAAGGAGCTTCCCCTCCCTGCCCCAAGCCCTGCCACCACCTTTGAAACCCACAAGCCTTAAGCCATGTTCCCAGCATGAAATTATGACTCCTTTGCCTCAGAGTAATCAATGGTGACCTCAAATTGACTTAGGTGAATGTTTTCTTTATGTAAGTGGTTTTTTCTGAAAGATCTAATTCTGGGTCTGAGATTTATTGAAAGTACTTTCTTTTAAATAAAATTTTTACAGCAAATAAACAGAAAACATTTTAGCAAACTACTAGACATTTGACCTATCCCATAGATCTTAACCTTGTTTAATCCTTATAGTTTATAGAACACATTCACTTATTCAGGCTATAAAACTGGCTTGGAGAAAACTTTATATCAACTAAAATACTATGATGTTGAAATTCCCATCTAAAGATAAGGTGCTACTGGTTTTCCATCAAAGTCAACACTTAACAGAATATTTTCAATAGTAGTAATGAGTTCTGGAGAAACCCATTTGAATTTATGCTCTATGGCAATTTCCAAGTGGGAATTTTATTAATATGAAATATAATTTTGTGTGTGTGTGCTTTGGGGGAGAGGAGTGTCCCTGCATGATACCAGTTAGAAATTCTCTTTGGCCAGATGTATAAGTGACACCAAATATGGTATTCCCAAAGACCATGATATGAATGACCATCCTTGGCACTATTTAGCACTTAGTCTTATCACCATGTGTAGTAGGTACCATTATGACTCTGAAGCACAAATTACTTTCAAAAGCAGTCCCGGAAATTAATATCCTATGCACCTGTCTGATGGAGCCAAGGTTTTTGAAAGTAACCTCTGATTTTCAAAGTACACTGTGTAGATCTACTACCTCATCTAAAGCAGTGGAAGTGAGGGGCTGGTGTTCTCAGTTAAAATAAGGGAACAAAGGGGTTGGAGTGTTTGGCCTCATACACAAATAAATATGGCAACCATTTCTTCCTGTGAACCTGAGGGCCATTTGGCAGTATTGAGGAGGCTGGATTGAGGTTCCCATTCCACACCAGAAGCACCTGGGCTACTATTTTCTTTAGATAGTCTTGCACATATATCATTCTTATAAAATGAAGGATATTAACCTCTACATGGAAGGTCATTCTAGAATGTTCCAGCTGGTCAAAATAAGATTGAAGCATGTTCTGTGTGATTTTAGGCTTAGTGTTGTTCATTAAATTCTGGCCCTAGGTGCTCACTGCCTGGTAACTAAAATGCCCTATTTTCCTGAAGGGATGAAAAATGTGCATTTGTGGCATTGGCAACATTTCCTAGAACATGCTTATTCTTGCTATGGAATAACATAGGCACTGGCAATGGTGTCGTCAAAAATGCTTGATGCCATGAAATGTATACATTGAGTACATTGTAAGTAAAAAAATATATAAGTTGGAAACCTATGTACAGCATTATAGAAGAAGAAAATATGAATACATGCATAGATAAAGCCTGGGGGAATATGCCAAAATGTTAATAGTGATTAGGTAGCAGTATCTTCCTAAAACTCCTAAAATAAATGTGTATTATTTTTAATATAAAAAGTTCAATAAATATAGATTTAAATGCATTCACTTAAAAATATTTGTTGAGTGTCTCTTAGGTGCTAGGCAGTGGGGATGTGGTAGAGATAAGACAGACCAAGCTCTTCTCCATGGATTTTATATTCCAGTAGCTCCTCAAGATATGGTTTTATCTTCAAATTATGGGGCATCCAACAAGAACACTGAGTCAGGAATGTGCTTCACGGATGAAGTTCAAGAAAAAGGACAACATACATCTGCGGTGTTGTTTAAAAGGAAAAGAATGTCATTATTTTAGGACAGAATTAGAAATAAGGTATTATACCTTCTGCTGGATTCTGGGCAGTAAAATGATAAGTCAACTTTTGACAATATAATGCACATTGTTCAAATCCACACACACACGTGTGCATGCTAAAAACTAAAAATCCTTCAAAGTTAGAGTTCATCGACTTTGCTTTGATGCCCAAAGATGTCCGAATACTGGAAAGCCCTCAGCAGAAGTATTTGAAACACTTTCAGATCAGATGGCATCACAAGAAATGTGTGAGAAGAAGTGGCAAGCAAGGATAATTTTGGAGTCGGCTCTTTCTGGTGCTCTATACATAGGTTATCACTTATGGCCCAGCCTGAATGTAAAAAAAAATAAAATATAATGTTCTAGGCCTAATTTTGCAGCCCTGGCCCTAAAGATATTACAGTTTAAAAATAAAAAAAATTTAAAAAGCTAAAAAGCCATTTCCCAAGAAGTTTCCCTGAGTCCCTACTTATGCTCTCAAAAAAGATTAAATCTATTCATTTGACAGATTAGAGTTTTTCAGCTTAAATCCATTTCAGAGCAGTTCTGTTTATTTATTTATTTATTCATTTATTTTACAACATTTGACTCCTTTCCCCCAACTAAGCAAAACAAAATCAGTACCAGCAACACCACCACCAAACAACCCACAGGATAGGATAGCCAATTCTGTGTCCCCAGTAGTTGAAACCTTTGGTAATTTCCTTGTTCTTTCCCTTAAAACACAGGTAAGTGGAAATTACAGGATTGACTTCACACCTGGGTCTGGTTGGTGTTTATTCATGCAAAAGATAATTATTGAGCTCCATCCTCACTCCTGATGCTATGATCAAAACTGGCAACACAAAAGTACACAATCATATAAAATAAGTCTCTGATCTTGTGAAGCACAGAACTTGATGGAGAGAAGACATTAATCAAATAATCACACACACAGATAATCACAGACTGAGGGACTGACCAGGGGCAAAGTAGTTGGGAATGGAAAGACACAGATCTCCCTGAACTTCTCCAAAGAGGACATCCAGATGGCCAACAGACACATGAAACGATGCTCAGCATCCCTCCTCATCAGGGAAATACAAATCAAAACCACACTGAGATACCACCTCACGCTAGTCAGAGTGGCTAAAATGAGCCAATCAGGAGACTCTAGATGCTGGCGAGGATGTGGAGAAACAGGCACCCTCCTACACCGTTGGTCGGAATGTAAACGGGTGCAGCCCCTTTGGAAAACAGTATGGAGGTTCCTCAAAAAACTAACAATAGAACTCCCCTATGACCCAGCAATAACACAGCTAGGAATTTACCCAAGGGATACAGGAGTGCTGATGCATAGGGGCACGTGTACCCCAATGTTCATAGCAGCACTCTCCACAATAGCCAAAACATGGAAAGAGCCTAAGTGTCCATCAATGGACGAATGGATCAAGAAGATGTGGTTTATCTATACGACGGAATACTACATGGCAATGAGAAAGAATGAAATCTGGCCATTTGTAGCAACGTGGATGGAACTTGAGGGTGTTATGCTGAGCGAACTAAGTCAGGCAGAGAAGGATAGATACCATATGTTTGAACTTATAAGTGGATCAGGAGAAACTTAACAGAGGACCATGAGGGAGGAGAAGGGGAAAAAATAGTTGGGGAGAGGGAGGGAGGCCAACCATAAGAAACTCTTGAATGCTGAGAACAAAGTGAGGGCTGATGGGGGTGGGGGGAAGGTGAAGGGGGTGATGGGCATGGAGGAGGGCACTTGTAGGGATGAGCACAGGGTGTTATATGGAAACCAACTTGACAATAAAGTATGAAAGAAAAAAAATAAAGGTATTTTCCTGGAAAAAAATAAAAATGAACCACACCCAGAAACTTAAAAAAAAAAAGATACACATGATTTCATTTCACTCACCCAAATAATTCAGGAAAATCTCCTCACCTCAAAGATTAAGGTCCTTCATCACAGCCGCAAAGACCCATTCACCTTGTAAAGTAACATAGTCACAGGTTCTGGGGATGAGAACTTGGACTTTGTTTTGGGAGAGGAAGCTCTTGTTTTGTCTTCCACAGGGAGCACCACCCAGGCATTGTGATGCGGCCCAAGTTAGAAGTGATTTCAGCAGAGCTTTGAGAGTCAGAATGATCATGGTCCATGAAAAAAGGAGGCTGTGGAGACACTCTTCTCTCTGTAACAAGCTGTTTCCATTTGTTGTTCAACCTCTCAAATGACAATTGACTCAGGAAAAAAGGAAGGATGGCTCCATCCTTCCATCCTTCCGCAACTCATTAAAATCCTCTCCAGCACAATGGATGAGGCAGCTTTGGAGCTGGTAGGGGAAGGACTCGAATTTCTTCCCCCACCTCTGCCCCAGGAGTTTCCAGACCAGCCTCGAAAGTTCAGCTGTTCTTTAATGCAGCAGTAGCTCCTCACAAGTCGGGAGATAACACGTGTCTCTACTCTCCCTCATTTACGGAGGGCCATTGAGAAGAGCACTCTCTTTTCCTCTGAGTCTTACCAGGAGAAAGAAAAGGGGCCTTGGGTGGGGCGCCTGGGTGGCTCAGTTGGTTAAGCATCTGACTTTGGCTCAGGTCATGATCTCACGGTCTGTGGGTTCAAGCCCCGCGTTGGGCTCTGTGCTGGCTCGGAGCCTGGAGCCTGTTTCAGATTCTCTCTCTCTCTCTCTCTCTCAGAAGTAAATAAAACATTTTTAAAAAATAAAGAGAAAAGAAAATGGGCTTTGGAGGCTGAGATAATTGCATGGAAACCAGAGCACCAGCACTAGCTGTGTGACCTTGGTCAAGTTACTCAACAACTCTGATACATAAAATGAAGACAATGTCCAATGTCCATCTTCTAGGATTGTGGGAGTTTGGGCATGTGGGGTGGGGGTTGGTGGTTCTCTGCCCGGAATGGAAGTAAAGAAACATAAGTATCTAGTATTGTCTTCTATATCATAGTATCCAAACGAATGATCACTACTTAAGTAATGTGTGCGGGGTGCTATCACAGTTCACAAAGTAATGCATATATTTTCTGACTCATTCTCCCTAAGGTTCTATTGCATAGACATTTGCATAGACAAGGAAACAGCTCCAGGGGATTCCAAGATTACCAAGCTATGTTTGTAGCAGATCTAAACTCCAAGCCCACACCTCCCCCTCCTGCTCTGTGCTTTCCAAGAGCTGCCTAATAATTGACTTAAGGTGGGTGAGGCTGTCTCCAGTCGGAAAACTCCTAGATGATTTTTTAAGGTTCATCCATGCCAGTGGAGGGTTCAGCCAAAACCCTTGAAATATT